TAGCCCAGGCTGGCCTCGAACTCACAGAGATCCGCCTGGCTCTGCCTCCCGAGTGCTGGGATTAAAGGCGTGCGCCACCACCGCCCGGCTTTAACCTATATTTTATGTAAGTCATATTTTAAAATTTCAGTCCATATTCCTTGTGAAGTGACCTCTAGCCCCAAAGCATACACACATACACACACACACACACACACACACACACACACTCCAGCTACACTGAGACTGTAGACAACTGAGATGTAGGCAGAATACAGCCATAACTTCATAGAGATATAGGTATCCACTATCAAAACTTTTTAAATAAAATATTAAGCTTAAGCAATTGCTTACCAATTATTCTTGGGCCTCCTTTAACATTTTAAAGCAAGGCCAAGAGAAAAAGCTGTAACAAGTGGGGTAACTAAGAAAGAAATGTAGAGAGAGCCCAGCCAGTGTCTGCCATGCAGCTGTAAACCATTGAGAAGAGAGCTGGGTGTGAGGGCACCACCTAAAATCCCAGCACTCTGGAGGCTGAGGCAGGAGGATTCCAAGTTCAAGGCCAGCCTGGGCTGTATGGTAAGACTGTCTCAAAAAGAAAAAGTAAAATCTGGAGACTTCTCAAGTCAGCCAAGCAATTTCAGTTGCAAGAGGTGAACAGCTAACTGCTCAGTTGGTCTGGCCACAACATACCTGATTGATGGCCCTACTGCCTGAGGGTATTTCTGGGAATTCTGGGATGGCTGTCATGTCTGCCAACACCTTTCCAACAACAATTTGTGGGTCAGGTCTCTCAAAGGTGGCAGAGGAGGAGGATGAAGAGGCATGCCTTGTGTGCCCATTAATTTAATTGTCAACTTAATACAAAGTAGCATCTCCTGGGAATGGAAGCCATTCAGTGAGAGATTACACATACCAGGCTGTCTGTGGGGGATCGTCTCAGCTGCCTTAAAGGATGTGAGAAGACACAGCCTGAAAGTGGGCAGCACCATTCCCGGGTTTGGGGACCAGGACTGTGTAATTAAAGGATGCGTGCATTTCCTTCTCTTTGCTCTTGACTGGGGTTGTGATGTGACCTCCCTGCTAGAATGGACTGTAACCTAAGCTAGATAAACCCGTCTTTCCAAAGCTGCTTTTTGTCAGTCTATCACAGCAACAGAAATAAAACTCAAACACCAGCTACTGAAATACAGTACATTATCAGCTGAGAACTGAGAACATCAAAATACACAGAGAGGTTAACATGTTAGAGTTCAAACAGTCACACTTCAAAAAATACCATGCCTCCAAGAACTACAAATGAAAAATAAGAGGTCACAAAATTGTGGGTTACATAAACAAATGTAGGAGGCAGTAGACAACGTCCCAGCTGGTTCTTCCATGGAAACGGGTCAAGGCAGTCAAGGGCTTAAGAGCTGTGATTACTATTGCCCATTTAAGTACCAAAGTTCTGATCTGATTTGCTTACTTTAAAATATACATTAAGCAAAACATACTTTAAAAAAAAAAAACTTAATCTATTACAACTGAAGTAAAGAAAGGAAAGAAATCCTGATATTCAGAGACCTTCAGAAAGTATATATGGGCTAACAACTATAACCATATGCACAGAGGGCTTATCACAAGTTTCCATAAAAGTAAGTTTCTCTGGGAGACTGAAGTAAATGTTTAGATAATTTTGTTAAACAATATACCACTCAAAGTAAGGTAGGTGTGTGTGTGTGTGTGTGTGTGTGTGTGTGTGTGTGTGTGTGTGTATCAGACACACACACACCAGCACCAAAGGTCCCCAGGGAAGTTCTGCCCACCTCTGAGAAAAATCTGCAGCATTCATCGAGAATAATGTATGTGAAGACTGGCTCTCCTGCAGACACTGAGGGAACCATCATACCACCGTTCTCCCCATACCTCCTAAAGGGACATCTTGGAGCAGAGTCTTATCCTTCCTCCACTCAGAGACAACATCCAAGAGAGCATTAAAATGAAAATCCATGCGCTTGTCAATAGTGGGGTCAGTTATCCGTCCACCTTCCTGAATTAAGTCACATCTCTCTCCCAACTTATGCATGCTGATGCCAAGCTTCAAAATAACAAGAAGAACAGGGTGAAAGTCTTTCCTGGAAAAAAATACCTACAAGTTCTAAGCTGAAGTTAGACTGCACTCTCCAGAGAAGAGTCTAAGAACGAAAACAGAGGCTGTGTGCTCACTGGGGGACAGCCAGGCGAGGAATCCGAGACTTGGGTCAAGTCGGAAACACCCCACTTTATGGGATATGAAGGTGACAACAGCAGCTCCCAGGCACCGCACTCTACATTTTCAGCTCCTATTTCAGTGCTGTGGGCTGCCTGTCCTTATTAAACATCCTGTCTCCACTTCAGCTCTTCATGCAAATGGTCATCTACACTCAGAGACGCCGAAACCTTTCGGGGGAAACAATCACCTTCGACCTACCAGGTTGGCAAGATAACAGACAGGGTGCTAGGAGACTGACTTTCAGAGAAATACCATCCTTTGTAAGTATTCATTATGCCCCAGATGTTACATGTAAACTATCTCATGTAATATCTGGGTCATACTTAAACTAAAAAAATAAAATAAAAAGACTTGTCTGAAAGACAGACTTACCTAAGAACTCTACATTTTCACCTGATACATCTAGCAACCCTGGGCTTGATTATGAACCGATTAAGTGGCCTGAAAATGATCCACAAATAAAAACTAAAGATTTTGGGGAAAGCCTTTTAAATGTCTAATGGGAAAGGCATATGTGTAAGCCTTTTGGCTGTACTCTGTACTCTGCAGAGGGTATGAAGGAAGAAGTTGTGTATGCTGTCTACTCTGGAAGCATATTAATATATACCCTAGCCCACCCTAGACATGAGGATGCTAGCAGGTACTTCACCCAGCTCCATATTAATCCTCTATGCAAACAGAGACAAGTTTTCTCTCCTTTGCCTATAATACAAGTCTTCAAGACACTCACTTGCTCACACATTAGTGCTACTGGGTTATTAATACAGCCATTGACAATCTGGGGTCCTCTTCCCACTACGACGCCTTTAAAAGACTTGTCATCCCATACTCGGCCTCCGATTCGATCTTTGGCTTCCAGGATAGTCACCTAAAAAGATAAATAAGGGAGATGGATGGTCTCCTAAGCTATCTCAATCACTTGAGAGAGTAATGAGTCCTCCAGGCATTCTTTCCCACTCCCACCCCCACCAACATATCGAGGAGGGCTACAGCCTGTGGCTCCACCCCCCCCACTCTCTTTCTCCGATTTTAATTTAATAATGAGCCACATGTTTCTATCTCTTTTTAGTATACAAGAGCTTAACATTAAAGGCAGCCTCCTCAGACTCTGGATATTAATAGCCTTACCTGTAATATAATCTTGAGGTTTCCCAAATAAAAAGCAAACCAGAGACACTGAGCCTAATGTCTGATACTGAAATAACATAAACACTTTCTATAGCTCACAGGAGGGATTTCCTACCACAAACACTTCCTCCTACCCAACTGACTTTCTTGTTTTGCTAGTAGTATGACATGACCCACAACTTGAGTCCTCTATCTACCCAGGAGAAAAAAAAAAATCTTCTAGGCCCAGCTGTTGAACACTGCTCTGACAGCCTGAACCGTGACTTTGAACATGTCACCAAAAAGAAGGTCCTGTTGTTTATTTAACTTTGCCTTCAATGAAAAGCAAAGTCCTTGCAAAGTTTTAAACAGAAGAATGCGTCCAACTTAGCAAATCAGAAAAAGCTAGGTGAAGGTTCTTGATCTGATAAGGATTAGATACCAAATTCTGAGACAGAGTTTCACCATGTATTCCTGACTGGCCTAGAACCAGGATGGCCACCAACTTAGATCTGCTGGCCTGCCTCCTTAGTGCTGGGATTCAAGGTGTATGTGTACCTCTGTGCCCACCCTCTAGCAGTCTCTATCTTGGTGAGCTGAAGTAAGGCATTTTCCAGCAACTGGCACACTGTTCTGCCCTCCCCTAGATGCTAAGCAGTCATAATTCTAGCTCAGCCACATTATCGTTCATTCCATCCTGCTTTCAAGAGCCATGGCGTTTGTTTTCCCAAGTAAGAGTCCAAGGATGACTGGTTTGCATCAAGAAATCTGAGGGCTAGAGCAGAGTGCTTGCCTAGCATAATAGAAGCCCTGGGTTCCATTCTCAATATTGGGGAGGGCGGAGAAAAGGAAAAAAGCGAACTGGGTATTTCAAAACTTCCCCGACAGTGAATTTCCATGCTTTCATTTGTTGCTCCAAACTGTTCCATCACCTCCACTGGTTAATAATAAGCTGCCAAGAACTTCTGTAGATTCCATGTTAGTTCTCCCCAAGCTCTACCTGCTCTGACTGACTCAATGCCAATGCCAAAGCTTCTCTAGGACCTACTGTAAAAAGGTGTGGTGTTTAATGTCAGCACTTGAGAGGCAGGCATGTGACCTCAGTTGTAGGCTAGTGTGGGCTACAGTGAGACCTTGTCTCAAAAGAAAGCAGTGTGTGTGTGTTATTCTTCACTAAATTTAGGAACTGGTCTCAAAAGTCTTACAAAATTTGGAGCAAAGGAGCAGTGAACCATCTGTCCCCACCTCCAATTCCCCAGAGTCTCACCTTCATCCCAAAGTTATGTAGTTGCCTAGCAGCTGCTAAGCCTGCTGGACCAGCCCCAACAACCAGAACCGATTTCTTCAAAAAGAAAACAAAACTCTGGTTAGAACAGTGGTGACAAGGTGTTGATACAGTTGCTCTGGAAGGTTCTAACTGCCACGGTGTTAGTCTGTATTTCTGGTGTCACTAGGATTTATTTTCCTGTGGTACGTGACGGTACCTGTCTTAAGGAACCTCTTTTTTCTTACAGCCTGGAGAAACAGCTGCTGGTCTCCTGGGAGAGAGTCTTCACAAGTCTTCCTTCTGCCAATGGTTTCCGTGGCTTCTAGTACTACCATAGCAACACACCAGTCCCTCACCACGACCAAAGGCAGAGCTGCTTGCTGCACAGCCAGTTGCTTACATTGTGGTAGTGTTTAGGAAGAAGATGCTGGCCAGGTTCCACCGTGAGAACGCCTGTGTTAATGAGGCCTTTCCTCGTCATAAAGTAAAGAATCCTCTCTACTTCCTGGACACATCGAATGCGCACAAGGCCCCGGACGATGATGTGGGGAATGCACTTCTGAGGAGTAAGAGCTTCCTGTGTTTACAACGAAACCAAAACCAAGAGCAAGAAAGTAAGTCACCCAATTTAAAAACAAACAAAAATCTAAAAGACAAAAACTAGGGCTAAAAGTTTATTTTTACATTTTGTTGTTGAGAGAGGGTCCCATTTTGTAGCTCTAGCTGGCCTGGAACTCATTATGTAGACCAGGCTGGCCTTGAACTCCCAGAGATCTGCTGGCCTCTGCCTCCTTAGGGCTGGGATTTAAAGGTGTGTGTCAGATGGCTGGCTAGTTGGCTTTCTTTAAACCTAGCATTCCTGCTCCCCCCCGCTTCCGGTTTACCTTCCGTCTTTTTAAGCAGATGCTATGTCGATGCCCTAAATATTTATGCAGTCCTACAGAGTTAAAAGCACTGAGCTTGCCTGGCTAGGGACAGAGCTGAACAGAAACCTTTGCTCTGGGGCTTATAATCCCCTTTTGATTGCTTTCTGCCGTCCTGGCAACACCCATATGGCTCTTTGAACCAAGCCTTGCACCTTCTCATGTACTGTCTCATTCTGACTCCGTATGGGCCAAAGCTGTTCTCAACAGGGGCTGACCCTGTCTCCACTTGAAAATGCCTAGACTCATACAGATGAAGCATCTCTAATTAGAGAACATGCAATCTGAAATCTTCCAGATTCTGTGTGCAAACAGAATACTTAAAAGTTTCAGATCTCAGAGCATTTGAAGGCTTTCTGGACTGGGATGCACAGCTGGGGAAGCCTATTCAAGTACTCTGAATTTTTTTTTTTTTTTTTTTATTTCAAAAGCTGAGGTCACTTCTGGTCCCAAGTGTTTCAGATAAGAAGTTGTCAACATGTATGCAACTGTCAACATGGAAGTGGTACTTGAGTCTCCAGAGCAGAGGCCAGGGATACAGCCAATATACTACTCTGTGTACAGAAGAGCCTTCCCGCACCCGCACCCCTGAAGCACCCCTTTCCTTCACTGCCGCCCTCTCCTCCCATGCTGCTGCAGGGCATGCCCTCACTTACTTTGCAGTTTGTGTACCACAGAGCGAGGATGAGGTTTCTCAAAGCTAGGTACATGGTGGGGTCTCGGGAATACTCTGGAAACTCATAAAGCTCATCCAGCTCCATCACATCGGGCCTCACACACAGGGCTTTGCCACACTCATTGGGCTGGTAGAAGGGCTGGAAGTAGCGGTTCATGCCTAGAACTGACAGGTGACAACCAAGCAGCTTCTGTAAGCTATCACTTTCCAATCTGCAGGAAGCATGTGTACACACACACACACACATACACACACACAGGGGCTGGCGATATGGTTCAGTGAGTCAAGATTCTCGCAACCACGCCTGATGACCTTGGTTCGGTCTCCATGAAGGAGAGAACCACTTTCCTGAAGCTGTCCTCTGACCTCCCATATGTGCTGTGGCACACACACACAAATGTAATTTTTAGATTTAAAAAGAACAAAAAAATGCACCACTTTCAGATTATAAAGTGGAATCCCTAAGCACTGATAATGTCCCATGCTAGGCTATGTTCCAGGATCCAGAGTGTCCTATTATTAACATACTAGATGCTAGTTTTATAAAGCTGGGCAAATGCTATGAAGGTGTTGTTTTCAAACCCACTTCTAAATGTTTTCCCATGTCATTAAATGTAACTTTGGTGGCTCTGTGTCTTATTTAACCATTCCCCTCTCCTGGGCATTTAGATCACACTGATCACATTCACAGTTATAAGCAACACCAAAGCAAATTTCTGTGCACGTGCAGTTTTGAACAGATTGACTTTAGGATAGCATCTTAGAAAGGTCTGCTAGTTCAAAGTCTCATCGAAAGGTCTTTGCTACACACTGCCAACTGTCTTCACAAATGTGCGCTCTTAGTACTTGAGTGCCCAGCTCAGTGCACCCTCCTCAAAACACCGGGGCTTCCACAGCAGCACCAGCCTCGATCTCCCCACATCTCCACTGTCAAGAACCATCCAGTATTGGGCCTTGAATGGAAAAAAATCTAGTTTCACAATCAAAAATGTGGTTTGTTCATGTACAGTTGTGGGGTTGTTAGAATTCCTTTGGAGCCAATAACATTCTATCCTGACATGAAATTCTGTATCTTTTGGAGTGTTATCTCTACTTGTCTCATTAGAGACATAAAGATGAGGAAGGAGGGAGAAAAAATACTAAAAAGCAGTGCTCACATAGCCCAGAACTTCCTTCTGTAAGTCAGAGTCTGTGAAATCAGTAAATGGCACAGATATCCAACCCTAAAATAAACATTCATCAAATCCTATACATAATAGCTGTTAGGAGTTATAGGTTTGTCAAGGTAAGTATACATTGTATACAATGCTACAATAGATCCACAGTGCCATCCTCCTTCACCATCCACAGGGAATTAGTTCTAGGACCCCCTACCCACACAAGTCTATCAATGCCACACATGCTCAAGTCCCTTATTTAGAGGGTGCAATATTTGCATAGGTCCATCCTAGATGACCTTTAACACCTAATATGATGTAAATAGCTGTCACTCTCAGAAACCCTCTCTTCTGACCTCCACAGTCACGAACACACACACACACACACACACACACACACACACACACACACACACGTGCGCACGATAAAACCTGTAATACAGAATCTGTATATAATGAATACAGACAGAACTTAGAACTTCTCCCCAAGTGGCTTTCCATCCAGGCTGTCTGAATCTGTGATGCAGAGCAGGAATATATGAAGGCCAACTGCATAACCAAATGCGTGCAACGGTGAGTGCTTTCTACCGTGTCACACACATTGAGAGCGTCTTCTGTAGTTTGCTTACCCTTAAATTTCCAAGGAGGGGGCAAGGGATGGAAGGAAGGGGACACCAAGACATCTCTCACCGAGTGGAGAGGGGGCCGCCTTGGCGGGCTCCATCTTGCCCGGGCTGGCACTGCCGGGGGTGGCTGCGGCACGGTGCGTGCTGGTGCAGGAGGGGCTCATGCCAACACAGTCGGGGTAGTAGGCAGAGAGCAGTGGGGCGGCCACGCTGTCCTTCAGCAAGGGAGGCTGGATCAGCATGGAGTACCACCAGTGGTTGGCAACTTCCAGCACTCTCTGTGATTTATCAGTGAGAAGGAAAGGGGAAACACACATGCTGAGGGTAGACAGATAGTCATCTTTAGCCACAGCCCTCCTGTTCCACCCACATCCAGACTCAACAATTCTCAGAGCTGCATACAAAGAATCCAACAAAAACAGCTGAGGATACCCGGAGACAGTCTTTCTTAGGTAAAATTCTTCCCCAAATACAGAACCAAAAAACCAGTAACTGGGTAAGCATGCTGCTTCCCCAATATCCCCAGTCCACCTCCACCAACCCCCACTTTTGCTGTCATGGTCATATTTTAAATGTCAACCTTCTGCTACCTCAGAAGACCTAAGGAAGGTGTTTTAAATGAGTTGTCGAGATCTCGTCAGCCGGTGGGGGACTGACTGTCTTGACTGCTAACTGACCCAGCCCACCATGAGCGGCACTATTTCCTAGGCTGAACTCTGAACTGTGTTAAGTATGAAGAAAATTATCTGGGGAAAAAAAAGAAGCAAGTAAGCAAGAATGTGTTTATTCTCTGTGCTCTTCACTACGGTTATGATGTAACTAGGTGCTTGAGTTCCTGCTTTGATTTCCCCCTCAATAATGGACTCTAAACCTGGGACTGTATGCCAAATAAACCCTATTATCTCCTACACTACTTTTTAATCACAGCAGCAGAAATCAAACTAGAACATTTGTTCAGCTCCAAGCCAAGAATTCAGCTACTGACATCCAGAGTTTGGCATCTTAAAAATCATGAATCTAGGCTGGTCCTATTCTATTTTCTGGATCATGTAGCTCAGAAAAAAAAAAAACTGAGCAGACCCCGCCATCTTGCTATAACCCTCTAGTTCTCTCTTTTCTGGAAGTCCACCTGAAGGGTGATGCTCCAAACCAGTCCCCACATTCTGTAAATGAAACAAACAGCAACCAGGAAGCTCTTGCTAGCTGCTAGTCCTGGCCGTCTGTCTAGGACTGTGTCAACAGCCTCCCTGCCTGGGGATGGATATATAGCTAAATGGTAGCATGCTTCCTTAGCATGCCCAAGGCCAGGATTCATTCCCCAGCATCATGAAAGCAAAGCAATTTGTCTTCTTACCTCACAAATATGGCCTCTGTCCTAAAGTCAAGGCTCTTTTGAGTATAAAATGGCCTTCACAGTAGAGCCAATGGAGGAGGTTTTCTAATCGCACTTACGTTATTCTCCCCTCTCTCTATAAACTCATCCTGTCTACCTAAAATCCTGCCTACCTAAAGTCCAGAAACCACCGGGTCCACTGCTTTGCTATGGGAATGAAACTTAAAAACTAAAACAGAACAACTCCTTCATAGAAGAGAATAGATTCAAAGTGGATCTAACCCAGGTCCCTTCTCCCTTTGTGTGAAAACCTGCTGTGGTCCTAGAACTTGAGACACTGAGAACAAACTCAAACTACCAGACCTGAATCACAGATAATCAGGACTTGAGAGTTTAGCAATTCAGAATATTTGAAATCATTTTAAACCAGATCTGGTTACATGGCAAGTGGACTTTGTCAACTCAAAATTTGCCAGAAACAGATGGATTGTGCCAGGGTATGGCCAGCTGGGCATGCTAGACCCACTTCTGTATCTGAGTAGGAACAGGGCAGAGTGGCTACCTTGTGGTCAGAAAGCACCAGAGCCCTCTCTGCTGCTGAGTCCAGGCCAAGACAGTCAAACCATGACCATCCTGCTCTTTGTCTTGGAAGGACTCAATGGAGAAAAGGTCACAGCCATCCTTAACAAACAAGATTGAGAAGTCTTATCCCTGCAGGAGGTGGAAGCGTCTTCCTTGTTCCCTTTAGTGGATAATAATTTGGGAATGACGAATCCATAGCACTACTTCCACCATCACCATCTACCATTGGGGACTTGTTCACAGTGCACTCACATGCTAGAGTCCAAAGGCTTTGATGGACATACACAGATGTTAGTCATTTACTCAGAAAACTTATCATTAAAAGCCTAGTTAACTCCGATCCAGAACATGCAGAAATACTCACTAGGTCTTCAGGGAGAGAACAATGATCAGGGATGTCAGTCTGCAAAAGAAAACCAAGTCTGAATTGTTTCCACAACATACAGTCTTAGGTGTTCGTTTCCTTTCAATATCTTTCAATATGATAGCTCCTTTCTTTTCTTTTTTTTTTTTTTTTAAAAAAAACTATTTAACTAGCAAAGAAAAATGTTTGACATGTCACTAGAACGAGAGTGTGGGAAGATGTGTACTTTCATCAAGATGTTCCCCCATGAAAACAAAGGGCTGTACCAGCGGTGGAGAGGGCTATGACAAGATACACCCATCTGGAATACACAGAGGCAAGGCATTATCTCCTGGAACTAAAGCTGTGCATCAGACAGACATACCCAGCAATTTTCACCTTGGTGCATTTCCTCGAGACCCTTGTAACGTGCACCAAGCAATGTGCTACAAGAAAGACCAAAGGCTGGGAATACAGCTCGTAAGAGTTTGCTTGCCTACTATACAAGAAGCCCTGGGTTCAATCCCTAGCACTCTACCAAAGAGAGCTCAAAAAAAAAGGAAGAATGCTCAAACCAGGCATGGTGACACACAACTGTAATCTCAGCACTTTGGAGGGTGAGACGGAAGGATGGACAGTTCAAGTCTGCAGTATACAATGGGTTCAAAGCTAACCTGGATGATTCACAGACTCCAAAGCTAGCCTGAGCTACATAGCAAAAAACCCAGTCTCAAAGGACAGAAAAAGCAGATAAAACAAAATTCGATGTAAATTTCTGACACTCAAAGAAATTTTGTTTGTGATAGAAAAAAACTAAATACAAACCAAAGTTCATCAGCAACAGAAGAGGTAAACTGAAGTACACTCAAGTGATGTCACGTTACACAGCCGTGAACGACCAAATGGTAACTACACGCCCCGGCACACGTGGGTCTCACCAGCAGTTCTGCAAAAGCGCACTGCATGATTCCACTTGTGTGAGGTTCCAAATCAAGCAAAGCCAAATCCACACTACTGTAAGCTAGGAAAGTAAGCAGGCAATTTACTCTGGGGGAGCAAGGTTGGACACTGTCACTGACGGGGTCACCAGGGTACCTGTCGAGTATTCCATTTCTGTACTGGGGGCCAGATAAGCAGGTACTGGTGAAAATTCATTGGGCTGGGCATTTGGATTTGTGCAACTTCTGTTTCAACATAAAAATGCTGCCTAGCTGAAGACTGGGAGGGCACAGCAGCAGCAGCAGCTCTAGTCTCCGGAACACATCCCAAAGAAACTCTTACATGAGTGCCTTAATAGAGACTTGAGCAGGAGGGGGCAATAAGACTGCAGGAAACAGCAGAAACTGGCAAGATTTAGAAAGAAACTTCACCTCTCCTTGACCGGGGAAGCAGACGCTGTGTGGTGGATCCACACCATTCAGACACTACTCAGCAAGAACACACCAGAGCTTTAGGCATCAAACACCTCAGTGTTGAGTGAACAGAGTGAGCAGAGGAAGAAGAGCAAGACGGTGTGTCACATACACACACACTGTTCTCACTGACTGAAACACATCCTCGGTGTCTCCCTAGGCCCTGTTCCCAC